AATCTGCCACTTATACCACAGGGCTGTCCTAATGCATGGGTTCCTCTGGGCACTGCACAGGGACCCCAGGTGCATGGGGCCCCATGATAATCTAGCATTGCATCACACTTGCCAACTGACCTGGATTTGCTGGAACAGTCATGCTTTTTGCCCAGGCAGCGTCCCGGAACCTGTACTGTGCCCTCTGATCCCAGTATTGTGCCCCCCCCCCCCCCCCCCATACTGTGCCCTTTGTGTTGATGAGTCTTTGATTTATGGCATGTTTTCTTAACCGCTTGCCCACCGCCCTATAGTAGAAGTCCTGCTACAGGTAGGCAGGGCTGCACAACATTACGTATATACGTCATTTGTATTTCTGGGTGAGGGCCGCGTGCCACCCTACCCACCCTGCCATTGGCGGCTACGGACGGCAATCACCGGGTCCCAGCCAGAGACTCCCGAGTAAAACTGATGGGAGAGACCTGTGTATAAACAATACAGGTCCCTCTTCTGCCAGCAAGGTCATGCTGCTGTGTATTTCTCTGCACAGGAGAGAAATACACAGCAGCATGTTTCCTTGGTAAAACACACTCAGCACATCATGTAAAACAGCACATAGTTAACCCTTTGACCACCCCAGATGTTAACCCCTTCCTGCCCTGTGTCATTAGTACAATGTCAGTGCTTTTTATTAACACTGATCACTGTGTTAATGTCAGTGGCAGTTAGTCAGTTCTCACCCAGTGTCAGAATGCCCGCCGCATCCCACCATAAGTCGCTGATCGCCGCCATTACTAGTATAAAATAAGAAATTTCCAGTATACAGTGGGGCAAAAAAGTATTTAGTCAGCCACCAATTGTGCAAGTTCTCCCACTTAAAAAGATGAGTGAGGCCTGTAATTGGCATCATAGGTAGACCTCAACTATGAGAGACAAAATTAGAAAAAAAATCCAGACAATCACATTGGCTGATTTGGAAAGAATTTATGTGCAAATTATGGCGGAAAATAAGTATTTGGTCACCTACAAACAAGCAAGATTTCTGGCTCTCACAGACCTGTACCTTCTTCTTTAAGAGGCTCCTCTGTCCTGCACTCATTACCTGTATCAATGGCACCTGTTTGAACTTGTTATCAGTATAAAAGACACCTGTCCACAATCTCAAACAGTCACACTCCAAACTCCACTATGGTGAAGACCACAGAGCTGTCGAAGGACACCAGAAACAAAATTGTAGACCTGCACCGGGCTGGGAAGACTGAATCTGCAATAGGCAAGCAGCTTGGTGTGAACAAATCAACTGTGGGAGCAATAATTAGAAAATGGAAGACATACAAGACCACTGATAATCTCCCTCGATCTGGGGCTCCACGCAAGATCTCACCCCGTGGGGTCAAAATGATCACGAGAACGGTGAGCAAAAATCCCAGGACCACACGGGGGGGACCCAGTGAATGACCTGCAGAGAGCAGGGACCAACGTAACAAAGGCTACCATCAGTGACACACTACACCGCCAGGGACTCAGATCCTGCAGTGCCAGACGTGTCCCCCTGCTTAAGCCAGTACATGTCCGGACCCGTCTGAAGTTTGCTAGAGAGCATTTGGATGATCCAGAAGAGCATTGGGAGAATGTCATATGGTCAGATGAAACCAAAATAGAACTGTTTGGTAGAAACACAACTCGTCGTGTTTGGAGGAGAGAGAATGCTGAGTTGCATCCAAAGAACACCATACCTACTGTGAAGCATGGGGGTGGCAACATCATCCTTTGGGGCTGTTTCTCCGCAAAGGGACCAGGATGACTGATCCATGTACAGGACAGAATGAATGAGGCCATGTATCGTGAGATTTTGAGTGCAAACCTCCTTCCATCAGCAAGGGCATTGAAGAGGAAACGTGGCTGGGTCTTCCAATATGACAATGATCCAAACATACATACCGCCCGGGCAACAAAGGAGTGGCTTCGTAAGAAGCATTTCAAGGTCCTGGAGTGGCCTAGCCAGTCTCCAGATCTCAACCCCATAGAAAACCATTGGAGGGAGTTGAAAGTCTGCGTTGCCCAGCGACAGCCCCAAAACATCACTGCTCTAGAGGAGATCTGCATGGAGGATGGGCCAACATACTGGAAACATTGTGTGCCAACCTTGTGAAGACTTACAGGAAACGTTTGACCTCTGTCATTGCCAACAAAGGATATATAACAAAGTATTGAGATGAACTTTTGATATTGACCAAATACTTATTTTCCACCATAATTTGCAAATAAAATTCTTTCCAAATCAGCCAATGTGATTGTCTGGATTTTTTTTCTCATTTTGTCTCTCATAGTTGAGGTCTACCTATGATGCCAATTACAGGCCTCTCTCATCTTTTTAAGTGGGAGAACTTGCACAATTGGTGGCTGACTAAATACTTTTTTTGCCCCACTGTATATACCGCCATTTGTAGACACTATAACTTGTTTACATTTATTGGGATTTTTTTTTTAGCACAAACATAGAAAAATACATTTTGGCCTAAAAATGATGAAATTAGATTTTTTCTAGAATTTTTTACTGGATGTTTTATAGCAAAAAGTCAAAAATATTGTTTTTTTCGAAATTGTCGGTCTTTTTTTGTTTATAGCGTAAAAAATTAATAAAAACATGATCAAATACCACCAAAAGAAAGCTCTATTTGTGGGAAAAAAGGACGTGAATTTAATTTATGTACACCATTGCATGACCGCGCAATTGTCAGTTAAAGTTACACAGCACCATATTGCAAAAAATGGCCTGGTCAGGAAGGGGGGTAAATTCTCCGGAGGGCAAGTGGTTAAAATAAATTTTATTGAAAGTACTAATAAATATATGTTTAATTCTATCAACTATTTATACTTGAAGAATAGGTGTGAAAATTGGTGCAAGTTGGTAGGGTTTCCTGTGCATTACTTTGCCCAGGGGCCCATGATGCAATTAAGACGGCCCTTCTGTACCACCCTAATCTGCTACTTTACCACCATAGGCCTGGGCACACCCTAATCACCCGGTGCACATTAGTGTTACCACTTTGTGTGCCAGCGAGGAGATGGGAAAGACCTTGACAGTCCTTGACTGACACTGTACTGTCCTTGACTGACACTGTACTGATCTAATTTATGCATTGTATGGGGAGGAAGAGCTGTACTGCCTGTGCCCAGGCTGTGTGCAGTGCAGGGATGGGAGAAGAAGCTGTGCCCCTGTCCTCTGCCCTGCCAGCAGTGACCCCTGTCCTCTGCCCTGCTGATCTCCCATCCTCTGCCCCCTGACATTTGTTACTGAACCCCAACATTAGACAGGCTAGATCCGGACCTCTCGGCAGGACATTATACGAAGATGGATATGTGTATGGAAATGCTCTGTGTGCTGGCTATGATAGGTCCTCCAGTGTCCAGTCTCTGCAGTTTAGCAGGATTGTGTGCAGGGAAGGCATTATATGCTGCCTCTGGTCTCAGTCCCACCAGCCACTTAACTTCTGTGTTTAGAAAAGACAAATACATCTGTGATGCATAAGCAATGTTAAGATTAGGTTCCCTATACGAGGTGGGGGATGTGTGGATAATCCCAACCCAGGCAGAAATGTGATGCTCTTTAGCAGGCGTGTGGGGGCGCCATTTATTCTTTATTGCACCCACATATGCAAAACCACACGGTGCTGCGTGTTATTAACCACTTCAATACCGGACACGTTCATCCCCTTGGTGCCCAGGCCAATTTTCAGCTTTCAGTGCCTTCACACTTTGATAATTACTCAATCATACAACACTGTACCCAAATTACATTTTTATCATGTTTTTGAGACACACTCCAAAGACATGCTGGGAGGTGAATTGGCTCCTGTCTTAATTGTTCCTAGTATGTGTATGTATGAATGTAAGGTAGGGACCTTAGATTGTAAAATACTTGAGGGTTAGGGACTGATGTGAATGTACAATATATATTTATGTAAAGCGCTGTGTAAATTGATGACGCTATATAAGTACCTGTAATAAATAGATAAATAATTTTTCTTCTTCACTGATGTGCACTGATGAGGCTATGCTGATGAGGCTGCACTGATGGGCGCTGATGAGGCTGCACTGATGGGCGCTGATCAGGCTGCACTGATGATCAAAGAACTGTGTATCAAATGTAAATACTGTACTCACTGTGCCCCTCACAGATCCGGCTCTCCTTCCCTCACACACGGTCTCTGATGAGGAAAGCGGAGCCAACAACCAGTAAAGCAATTGAGTCTGTTTACACTGTGACAGTTGTGATTGGACACAGCTAACCACATGGTAAAGGGCAGTTGTGATTGGCTCCTTACCCTGATCTGTGATCTGCTGTGTCCAAGGCACACAGCGGTTACAGAGCACTCCTGATGCGCACCCATGGGAGGACACTTGGTGATACCCTCCCAGAACTGTAGAGCTGCACTGTAGCTATAGATTGGCTATAGCATGGTGGGAAGGTGGTTAAAAAAGGGTAATGGACTTCTTTCCCTGCATTTCTTGTGGGTACAAATCCCATTCAAATGACTAGGCTGCTGTACCCGTGACGTGCAAACACACACATTACCCTAGCTTACAGCCCATTCACACCAGATGCCATGAGATGTGTTTTTGAATGCATTTCCACTGCATAGACAGTCCAATATCCAGGTTATCCTATGGGCATAGTTCACACCAGTTCAGTGAAACAAAGTACAGCAAGTTGCATTTTGTTTTACACTGCAAACGCATGTAAATGGGCAGATATTCAGTGCAAATAAAAGCCCAAAGAAGAAAGTAACCTCAAAGGAAATGTAAGCAGACAGGCTTTTAGGAGAAATTCACTGCAACCAGACATGTGAACGCACATGCAAAAACACAGTTTCTGATGTGAATGGACCCTTAGACTTCAAGCACATGGCCATACAGCACACAGAACCAGTGTAATCACTCTCCCAGAGTCTACTGCAGCCTATTAATATGAATTAAAAGATGCTGCTGTACACACACAGATGTATTCTCCGATGCAGATAATGTGCATTTGGCGTATATGTGCTTGTGAGTGTTTTAGGTAACCCTCGGTGCCAGGGGCAGACTGACAACTCATGGGGCCCCGGGCAATAGGGGATCATAGGGCCCCTGTGTCCTTGCCCAAACTCAAAAAAGCCTATGAAAAAAGGTACCAGGGGCTCTCATGGGGCCCCCTACTGACCCCGGGCCCTCGGGCAGTGCCCGAGTTTCCAAATGGTCAGTCCGCCCCTGCTCGGTGCAGAATCTTAGACAGTACATAGAATAAACGTGTCCATCTATTTTCCTTGTATTCTGCCTTTAGGGCTGTGTGCGTGTTTACCCTAAACACTGTGCGACTCATTCATAAGAACAAGCAGGCAATTCAGCCGCAGTTTTATTACCAAACAACAGAGAACATGCTCTGCCACAAATGACCTGGGAGACTGGAAACCAGTGCTCTGACCCAGATGTCTTTGAATTGTAGCAATAATCCTCTGATACAATGAAGCCGGCTACTCTGTAACATCCATTGCAACAATTCTTTACTGGCTACATGGCAGGGTAGAGTATTGACACAAAACATGTTAGTGTGTTATTGCTGTATCCTGCCATGTAGCCAATAAAGAATTGTTCCAATGGATATTGCAGTGTAGCCAGCTTCATTGTATTAGATCAGGGGTCTCCAAATGTGCTAAACAAAGGGCCAATTTACTGTCCTTCAGAATTTAGGGGGGCCAATCTGTGGCGAGTAGAAATTGTTCTGGCATCAGTGAGAGTCAAGAGTATATCACTAACATTAGGGGGGAATGGTGCACCAGTGTTGGTGTCAATGGGTGGAATGGTGCCTCAAGGGCTGCATAAAGGCAAGCAAAGGGCTGTATCTGGCCCCCAGGCTGCAGTTTGGAGACCACAGTATTAGAGGATTATTGCTACAGTTTTTACCACCCCCTGACCACCCACCTAACCACAGAAATGCAGTTGCTCAGGGCTGTATACATGCCATGGCATAAATGAAACATGTCATATTTGATGGGCAGTCACCAAACAAGACCCAGTCAAGTGAACGGGGCAGTGCTGCAATGCATGCAGATGCAGTGTAGGGAGTCAGCAATTTGGGGGTTGAATTAGGCGGTGAGAAGGCCACATATCACCTCCTCATACCCCTGAAAAGTGATCCAACCCCAAATTGCCTTTCAAAGGGGTGGCAGTAATAGCCACATGCTTGAACATTCTGATGGGCACAACATAGAATGTGCCCATCAGAGTTCCCTTTTAATATAAAATGTATCCATCAGAGTGCCCATCAGAGTGCCCATGCCCCTTAACATAAAATGTGCCCATCAGAGTGCCCCTTATCATAAAATGTGCCCATCAGTGCCCCTTATCATAAAATGTGCCCATCAGCATGCCCCTTATTTTATGTTAAGGAGCACTCTGACAGGCACATTTTATGTACCTCTGGCCTAGAGCAAAATGCACCATATGTTACCCTCACCACCACATTATTATATCGGTGTAACACAGACAGCTAAATCTTCTTAAAAGGGGTTAATCATTCTTTATATTGATTTATAAGAACAGTTCAATCCTTGTCTAATCCTATTCTACTAATTCCCATACAGCTTTAGGATTTTAATTTACAGCCAAAGAGTTTAAGTAAATGTTAAAGGAAAAAAAAAAATTATATATACTCACCGGCCACTTTATTATGTACACTTGTTCAATTGCTTGGTAACACAAATTGCTAATCAGCAATCACATGGCAGCAACTCAATGCATTTAGGCATCTAGACGTGGTGAAGACAACTTGCTGAAGTTCAAACTGAGTATCAAAATGGGGAAGAGAGGAGATTTAGGTGGCTTTGAACGTGGCATAGTTGTTTGTTCCAGACAGGCTGTTCTCAGTATTTCAAAAACTGCTGATTTACTGGGATTTTCATGAACAACCATGTCTAGGGTTTACAGAGAATGGTCTGAAAAAGAGAAAATATCCAGTGAGCGGCGGTTGTGTGGATGAAAATTCCGTGTTGATGTCACAGGTCAGGCAGACTGGTTGGTACAACATTCAGATGGTAGGGCCAGAATTTGGCATAAACAACATGAAAGCATGGATCCATCCTGCCTTGTATCAATGGTTCAGGCTGGTGGTGGTGTAATAGTGTGGGAGATATTTTCTTGGCACTAGCAAGGTGTACTTAATAAAAGTGGTTGGTGTGTATATATCTCCAATGTGTGCACATTTCCCTTCTTTTACCTAGACATGTGCACATCAGAATTTTTTGTTTCAGGGGCATTTGTTCATTGAAGAATGTTGTCATATTCGTTATGTTGAACCAATTAATTTTTTATAATTTATTTTGTATCTTCAGCATTTGTTTCATATACTCGTTGGTCTGGGTGGGTTCGAACAATTTTGCAGTTTTTTGGAAGATTGCTATATAGTAGTTTTCGGTATCTATATTTCAGGTGGATTGGTTATTCATGTATCAAAACTATTTGATCTTTTCAGACACAACAGAATAAATAATGCAAAATTTGGCAGCCCTGAATTTTTCAAACCTAAGAATTGCATTAGACTGTGGAACTGAACTGACTGCCTGTGACAACTACAAATTCAATTTAAATCACAAATTTACTCAAATCTGAATTACAGAAAAAATATGAAAAATTAATTTATTTCACCAAGGGCCCAAACTGCATTTGCTAATTTTGTTAAAAACGTTTTTCAGATTCATTGATATCATGTATCCCTTTAACTTCTTGCCAACAATGTAAAGCATATATGCAGCTGCAGTAATAGGGGGATTTAATGCCCAGCAGCTGCTTATATGCATCCACAGCAGCCAGAGGTCATGTGCTTAGAGTGCTCATTGCATGCTCCCAGCACACTGACCAAGCTGTCCCCAACAGCTCTCAGTCGTGACTTCTGATCAGGAGCCAGCAGAACGAGCTCCTGATCATGTGACTCCTGTGAGAGCCAATAACCCTGTTTACACGATAGAGATGACACGCCTCATCCCAATCAATAAAGGGTGGCTGGGAGGCAGTTTGAAGGGGTTAAAGACCCTGCAAGTACCTGTTGATCTCCCAGAAATGCACTCAGCTCCTAATTTCTTGTTATGCGCCGACAATACACAGCCTTTTGGACTACAGTTTCCCACCTCTCTCCTTACCCCCACAACATATGGAGGATTTGTCTTGTCTAAAAGAAGAATTTGTGCTTAGAAATGGGCCTTAAAACTGAATGACACACAAAGCAATGAAGCAAAGCTATTGGTGACAACCACAGGGCATGCATCTCAAAAACAACTAGCAGTAGTGGTACCCATATTTCCTGACTACAGGTTCATATAGAGACTTGTCAGTGGCTGGTTCTGTACTCCCGAGTGAGAGTAATGCCAGGGAGCACCATAACGTTTTAAATATATTTAGCTAATAAAAAAAATTCAGACTTCCTGCTTCATTATCTGACATGTCTTCCGTCTTCCACAGCTCCATTCTTTCAATGATGTATTTATCCTGGATCACAGCTGGAGATATTACTCATTTAGGTTTCAAACAGCAGCAGATGACAAACAGCACCAAAGACAAAACAAAGACTACAGGGCTCAGCTTCCGAGTGTTCTTATTATCCAGGGATTAGAAGGCACAGATGAAACACTAGGTAATTGGTATAATTAGCATGCTAGGCATTGTCCCACATGTCCTGGAGGCACTGTATAACATCTGGTATACTAGATCGTTTTTTTTTTTTTTTTTCAGAAGTTGTCTAAAACAGTCAAGGTACCTTTTTAAAATTATGCAAGAACTTGTGGCACCCCAGTCTAAAATGGAAAAAACATAAATGTTACTTACCATCAGTGAGCTTGGAACGATGCATACATTCACTCTGTTCTGGCAGGGATAGGTGAGACCCATACCTGGATCTCCTGGTCCACAGTCCTAAGCCACTCTCTGTAGTAGTTTGTAATGCAGAGTTCAGTGGTCAGTAATTTGAAATGCAGAGTTTAGTGGTCAGAAGTTTGTAATTCACAGTCCAGAGGTTAGTAGGAAGTAATGCAGAGTGCAGGGGTAAATAGTTTGTAATGCAGAGGTCTGTAGTAAGTAGCGCAGAGGTCAGTAGTAAGTAATGTAGAGTGCAGGGTTCAAGTTTAGGTAATTCAGCATTCAAAGGTCAGTAGTTTGCAATGCAGAGGTTAGTAGTAAGTAAGTCAGAGATCAGTAGTAACGCAGAATGCAGAGGTCAGTAGCAAGTAGCTTAGAGTTCAGAGATCAGCAGTAAGTAGCTCAGAGGTGAGTAGTAAGGCAGGCAGAGTGCAGGGGTCCAGAGAAAGTAATTCAGAGTTCAAAAGTCAGTAGCTTGCAACCCAAAAGTCAGTAGTAAATAACTCAGAGATCAGTAGTAAATAACGCAGAATGCAGGGGTCATTAGTAACGCAGAATGCAGGGGTCAGTAGTAAGTAACTCAGAGATCAGTAGTAAGTAACACAGAATGCAGGAGTCAGGAGTAACTCAGAATGCAGGGGTCAGTAGTAAGTAACGCGGAATGCAGGAGTCAGTAGTAAGTACATCAAAGATAAGTAGTAAGTAACACAGAATGCAAGGGTAAGGAGTAAGTCACTCAGAATTCAGGGGTCAGGAGTAAGTAATGCAGAATGCAGTGGTAAGTAGTAAGTCATGCAAAGTGCAGAAGTCCTTTCTTTTTAATGCAGCATTATAGGATACGTTCATGTAAAAAATAATAAATGCTCATGTTTTTGCAGGTAAAAAGGTTTGCAGTTTTAGTATTTTTTTCTCAGGAGCCTGCAGAGCATTGCTCCTGTGGTCAGCAGATTGCAGGTGCAATGCAAACTCCTACAGACACTGCCTACAGCTCTGTGCCATACCTCTGTACAGGCCTTTTGTTTGAAAGTTGTAGGAAATGTCAATGAACTACAAAAGAGCTCACCAGCACCCTCAAAGTTCACTGAGAAATACAAGCTGTCTGCTGCAGTGGCAGACAGGACTCGTAGTTCATTCATGGATCCTTGTGAATGAATGACTTGGATGTGTGAGTGGAGCCCTGCACAGCTGTGCTGTTTTCAAAGTGTGACATCAGGGGATGTGGAGACTGGTCCATAGTAACATGTTACACCCTGAATATGGGTATAACATTTTAGTAAAGGTAAACTTTTATCTTTTTAAGTGGTCATGAGTAAGTAACGTACAGTCCAGAGGTCAGCAGTAAGTGAGTAAGAGTACAGAAGTCAGT